GCGTTTAAAAATTCGTATTTCCTAAGCTAATGCTCGCAATAACTTTCAATTTGCAGGATCTTTAGGAGATACTCAGCTCTAAAGGTGCTAAAAGTTTCATTCACATTGCGCAAAATTCTGATTTTTGCCGGCTTGGTGAAAATGGGTCTCAAAATGTACGTGTTGATGCCACTGCGCGTTGGCGTTTAAAAATTCGTATTTCCTAAGCTAATGCTCGCAATAACTTTCAATTTGCAGGATCTTTAGGAGATACTCAGCTCTAAAGGTGCTAAAAGTTCCATTCACATTGCGCAAAATTCTGATTTTTTCCGGCTTGGTGAAAATGGGTCTCAAAATGTACGTGTCGATGCCACTGCGCGTTTGCGTTTAAAAATTCGTATTTCCTAAGCTAATGCTCGCAATAACTTTCAATTTGCAGGATCTTTAGGAGATACTCAGCTCTAAAGGTGCTAAAAGTTTCATTCACATTGCGCACAATTCTGATTTTTGCCAGCTTGGTGAAAATGGGTCACAAAATGTACGTGTTGATGCCACTGCGCGTTTGCGTTTAAAAATTCGTATCTCCTAAGCTAATGCACGCAATAACTTTAAATTTACAGGATGTTTAGGAGATACTCAGCTCTAAAGGTGCTAAAAGTTTCATTCACATTGCGCAAAATTCGGATTTTTGCCGTCTTGGTGAAAATGGGTCTCAAAAGGTACGTGTTGACGCCACTGCGCGTTCGCGTTTAAAAATTCGTATTTCCGAAGCTAATGCTCGCAATAACTTTCAATTTCCAGGATCTTTAGGAGATACTCAGCTCTAAAGGTGTTAAAAGTTTCATTCACATTGCGCAAAATTCTGATTTTTGCCAGCTTGGTGAAAATGGGTCTCAAAATGTACGTGTTGATGCCACTGCGCGTTCGCGTTTAAAAATTCGTATCTCCTACGTTAATGCCCGCAATAACTTTAAATTTGCATGAACTTTAGGAGATACTCAGTTCTAAAGGTGCTAAAAGTTTCATTTGCATTGCGCAAAATTCTGATTTTTGCCAGCTTAGTGAAAATGGGTCTCAAAATGAATGTGTTGATGCCACTGCGCGTTCGCGTTTAAAAATTCGTATCTCCTAAGCTGATGCACGCAATAACTTTAAATTTACAGGATTGTTAGGACATACTCAGTTCTAAAGGTGTTAAAAGTTTCATTCACATTGCGCAAAATTCTGATTTTTGCCAGCTTGGTGAAAATGGGTCTCAAAATGTACGTGTTGACGCCACTGCGCGTTCGCGTTTAAAAATTCGTATTTCCGAAGCTAATGCTCGCAATAACTTTCAATTTGCAGGATCTTTAGGAGATACTCAGCTCTGAAGGTGCTAAAAGTTTCATTTACGTTGTGCAAAATTCTGATTTTTGCCGGCTTGGTGAAAATGGGTCTCAAAATGTACGTGTTGATGACACTGCGTGTTCGCGTTTAAAAATTCGTATCTCTCAAGCTAATGGAAGAAGTAACTTTAGATTTGCACCATATTTAGGAGATACTCAGCTCTAAAGGTGCTAAAAGTTTCCTTTACATTGCGCAAAATTCTGATTTTTGCCAGCTTGGTGAAAATGGGTCTCAAAATGTA